TAGAGAGCAAGAAGCAACCAATTTAGAAAAATTGTTAGGGAAAGATGTAAAAAAATTCAAAAATCATATATTATTTATGTAGGACAAACACATTTTAAATTGTAAGTCATTTTCAAGACAATATTAAAATAGAACTGATTTGGGAAGGAATATATATATACACATACATATACCTGTTTTAGGTTTTTAAATATGAAATTTTATCCTGACTACTATAAATATTGCATTAATATAAAATTTTCACTTTGTGAAACCTATAAGCTTTTAACTCCATTCATTGTTTAATTATTCACAACTATTCATAAAGGACTGTGTGGACAATAAGGTGGTATTTTACAAAAGACAATGCAGTAAGAAAATGAATACAAATGAAAAAAAGTAGGACCAGGCAGTAAGTTTAGTCATAGAACTAGATTAGTGCTATCCAAGGAAACAGTGTCACAGCTAACTTAAGTAAGTACATAAAGTGATTGTTTTCAAAATGGATACTTGCTATACTCAGAAATTTTTTAGGTTTTCAATACTAATATGACATACTTTCTATTGATTTTAAGTAAAATTTAAAGCTGCTTGAACAAATTAAGTTCTAAAAGTGAGCAAAGGATTTACTTTATAAAGTGTATTAATTTTAAACAGATTGATTTTCTACAGTTTTTCTTACTACTGTAATAATATAAAAATCCATGATGGGCAAGAATATCTGATTCATATGTTAGATTCTGAGCTCATAGACAAGAACTCTCTGCATATCTGTGTATTATAAAACCATGTGGGTTGAGTTTTCCATATTTCTCCCTCCTTCCATGACATAGTAAGTGACTAAGGAACTATACATATGATTTGGCTCTGTATGTATTTTTCAGAGAGGGGTCAGATTGAATTTACAGAGAAAGTAAGGAAAACAAACAAACAGAAGGCTTTCTTCTATATCATTTCAAGCACAGTAAAACTAAATGAACATAACCAAAGAAACTATGACTTATGTTATAGAAGGAAGTCTAAAAGTAGAAAGACAATCACAAACTGTAAGAGAATTATCAAGCATTTCTTCATCTACACATGCAGTGAGCATAAACCCTATCAGTACCAGAGAAAAGACCAACAGGGAGATTGACATTTGACAGTGCAGAAGCTGATAATCTACTGATACACCAAATCCCATGCCACTTGAGCAAATATACTGAACTTGCAAAGACAGCCGTGTTGTCTTCATTTCCCCCCTTACTTACTACACTCTGGCTTCCATTTTTCCCAAGTTCTTCCTCTGAAATCTTGCTCAAATTATCTAAGTAGTGGTCTGATATTGTGTTGCACAAATCTTCAAAAGAATAATCCTTTTCTTGACAGAGTTTTATTTCATCAAGTAGTTTTGATAGTTCTCCTGTCACAGTTTCACCTGTAAGAAGATAATTTTTCAGATATTTCAAGAAAGAAATTGCTAAAACTTAATGTTTAAATAATTAAAATGTATTTATTATGATAGTAGAACTAAAAATACAAAAAACAAGATTAAATAAACAAATATCTCTGGTAAAACCAAGATAGTAAACTATAAATAATACAAGATATTGACACAGTAACTTTGTGTGAATTTATTATTTCTCAAAAGAGAAATGAGTATTGAAAGTTTAAATATATGTAGTAAATAAAAGCACAATGATGAATTATAATCTAGCAGTTACAACACAGATCTTCATATTCTCAATTAAAACTACACTGAAAGAGAATCTGATCTTAGATACATGCTTATTTCTGAATTTTCAACTCTGTTTTATTTATTTTGGCATCTGAGTTTATATCAATACAATCCTGGCTTGACTACTTTCTTCAACAACAGTACCAAAAACCTACCATGCAGAAAGGATAGTGTTTTCCATAAATGCTGTTGGGCCATCATGTGCATATACAGGATAATTAGACAGGGCCTTCCTACCATACACAAAAGTCAACTAAAACTGGACCAAAACTTACTGTAGGCAGGGCACTGGTGGTTCATACCTGTAATCCTAGCTACTT